GAGAATGTGTTTCACTCTAAAAGTAGGTATGAGATATTTTCAAAGCTATTCTGATTTATAGATTTTATTGTTCATTAAAGATTTTTCCTTCTGTAGCTATTAAGGGAAATCAACAACCCAGCACTTAACTGTCAGTCTGAATTGTGAAGGTGTATTACCTGGATTGTTAACTAAGTAAGTCACCTAAAAAAATACTTCACCACATAAAAAGGCTGCTACACACACACACACACACACACACACACACACACACACACAGATACACACACACAAAGATGTCAAATACATACACAAACATACAAACACACACACACACACAGGAGAAGTCAATTTTTTACATGAAACCTAATGAATCGGAAGATCAAACTTTTGATTCTATGGGAAAGGGAACAACTTCCCTTGTTTCTGTTTGTCTCTATGTTGATATCTCATTCCAATATTGTATAATGTTAATTTTTTGTCTCATTCCCATTCTCAAAAATTATTTCAAAGTAATAGTTGAATTTTTTTTACTAATAACATGGAGTTTTGTCCACTATAAAATTTATCAACTTAATTGATAACTTTATTGAAGTTAAAAGATATATAAAAATAGGATTACTTCTGTATCTCTTTTAACTTTGTTATTATTTCATTTTTGTGTCTTTGAAATCACATCTCCCTATCCTATCCATCTCCTCCACCCTTGCAAGAGTAAAGGAAAATAATATTTAAGAGAAAAAAAATGCGGGAAGGTGGAGAAAAAAATCTTATCATGGAAGCTGCACTGTGACACAGTGAGTCACACAGTAAACCACTTTATCAATTCATTTTTACATGCAGGTGTTCATCACAAAGAATCATTCATCCAGTTCAAGGCCGCTGGTGCCTATTACACCAAGAACACTGGGCACTCACTGGGATGCTCCCTGGACATCCTCCTGCTGCCCTGTGCAGTACAAATCCTGTACCCCCTCCCCTATCCCCCACTCCTGTACTCCAGCATATTACAGATAGAATGGATGCTGGGGGTGGACCAACATTACCTTGGTTTGGGGCCTGGATAGTTGCAGTGTTGGTCAGCCCTCCAGCTCTCCTCTGTCTACTAAGGTGAGCTTTCCAGCATTGCACTGGCTAGTTCACCCCTTGTAACAATGAGCAAGAGGCATGGCCAGTTCTCATGCTTCCACTTCTTCAGGATTTGTCCTCCCGCACCTATACCTTCAGGGCCAGCTGTATTGTGTTCTCTAGGCGAGGTGTATGGGCCACTCTCTGGAGTGCTGCAGCTGGTGAGGAGCAGGGACAGCTCTCCTGCTCCTATAACCTAAGGACCAGCTTTTCTACCTGCTTCAGGCTTTGATGGGCTGGATGGAGGGATCTCTCCCCTGCCCATGCAGACAGATGAGTAATAGGGAGAACTCTTCCATGTTCATAATTTTGGGACTGGCTCCCCAACATATCTGCCCATCTCTACTGTGCTGCCCAAGTGAGTGCTGCAGCTTTTAAAGGGAAGGGTTAGTTTGATAGTCTATTGCAGGCAGTAAGGGGTGAGGGCTAAGGAGGGGCATCTTTCTCGCCCACATACTACCACCTGACAGATGAATAGTGGAGACAGCTCTCCCATGCTCACAACATCAGGGCTGGCTCACTTACATCGCCACCAACAGGGTTAGTTTTATTACGCTGCCCAGGTGAGGTGCAGGGCCTAATCTCCCACCTGTTGCAACTGGAAAAGGTCAGCTCTCTCAACAGATGGAGGCAGTATAATGTGGGATTCCCCTCTGTATGCTGTGAGAACCATTGGTGAATAAAGAAACTGCCGTGGTATGTTAATAGGGCAGAGCTTAGGTGAGGAAAGCTAAACTGAATGCTGGGAGAAAGGAGGCCCAGTCAGAGAGAAGCAATGGAGCTACCGGAGACAGACACTGGGAACTTTGCCCCTGTAAGCCACAGCCATGTGGCAATACACAGATTAATGGAGATGTAAGAGTTAGCAAATAAGAGGCTAGAGCTAATGGGCCAAGCAGTGTTTTAAAAAATATAGTTTCTGTGTGATTATTTCTGGAGTCTGGGTGGCCAGGAAACAAGTGGCCTTCCTCCAACAGAGGTATCAGAAAGGGTGGAAGGGCATCTTAGCCACATGCCTACCACAGATAAAGGATGGAGTACCAGCTTTGCCCTTCTCATGCTCTCAGAGCTGGCTTATCTGCCGCTGTTCACAGGATCAATTCAACTATGCTTCCCAGGTGAGTAGGAGAGTTCATTCTCCTTAGTGCTGCAGCTCATGTAGGGTTGGGTCAGGTCCCTCACCTGCTGCAGGGCTTGAGGTTGAGAGGAGGAAGGCATCTTTTCCTCACCCACTCAACTACCACATGGCAAACACAAGCGGCACAACATCTTTCATGCTCGCGGGGCCTGCTCACTCTGCCCCTGTAAACACAGTCAGGTCTATTGTAACGCTAAGGTGAAGTGTAGGGCCCTCTCTCCTGGGTGGTCAGCTAGTGACAGGCATGGCCAATTCCATACAGCCTATCCTCTCAAGACCCTGATTGGGTCATGAACTCATGGCACTTGTATCATCCCATTCCTCACCTCCCTTGCCTCTTCAGATATGCCTCTCTTACATACATATGACTTATTCTGCATCTCTCTTTCTCCTCTCTTGCTATCCTAAACTCACTCCTTCTTGAGTCCTACTCCTGCCAGCCACATGGCATGATGTGGTGTTGTTGATGTGTCTCGGCCCTGCGCTAGAGTTGCCAGGCAGCTCATGTTTGGGTCTTGTCCCTGCCAGTTACATGGCATGGGGTAGTGGCAGCTGTTGTTTTTGCTGTGTGGTTGCCTGGAGCTAGAATATCTGGGAGGCTGCCGGTTGGTTCCTGCCCTGCCAACCACATGGCGTGGCAGGGAGCTATTACTGTATTCTGGTCTGGGGTTAGAGTCACTGAAGGGTTCTGGTTGAGACCTGCTTACACCAGCCATACAGCATGGCAGGGAGCTTTTGCTGCTGCTGTTTGATGGCCCAGAGCTAGACAGTTCTGCATCTTTTTAAAATTTTTTAACTATTTTGTGATTTTTTTTTCTGGGAATTTATTACCTGAGTACTGTATTTGAGTCATTTCTAATACCTCCCTGCTCACATGTCTCCTCATTCCTTTTCAAATTCATATATTTCATATATTCATATGTATACATGTATATATGTGTGTGTATGTATTTATATATATATNATGCATGCATGTATTATGTTTAGTGCTGACCACTTGGTACTCAATAATCTATCAGGGAATTTTTCCTAAAGAAGTCATATCCTACCTCTTTCAGTGGCCATTAATTTTCATTTGGGACAGGACCTTGTAAGATATCCCCCATCTACATTCTATGACAAATGATGCTGGCATTCTGAAGGTCTTGTTTATGTGACTAAATTTTGAGATTTTATGAGAGTAGCTTCATTGTCATACAGAAATGATAGTCTCACAGCAAACATCATGGTTTTCTGGCGATTACAATCCTTATGCTTCCATTTCCATGATAGATCCTGAGGCTCTGGTATACGGTTTGGTTTGTTGATGTATTAACTGTTGTAGGGCATATCAGAGTCAGTTTTTCCTCTGTATTTTGGCCAGTTTTAGATTTCTATAGAAGTCTCCAACTACTGCAGTTGACAGAGGTTTCTGTCTTCCTGGTCCTGCAGTTGCTTAGTTCCAAAGAAACATACAGAGACTTACACTAATTACAAACTAGTTAGCCTATTAGCACAAACTTTTCTTATTAACTAATTCTTACATCTTAAATTAAATCTAAATGCTTGTCTATGTATGCCATGTGGCTTGCTACCTTATATCAGTGAGGCATTCTCATCTTGCTTGTTTTGTATCTGGCTTCCTCAGTGATGACTGCAGACTGAGCTTTGCTCTTCCCAGAATTCTGTTCTGTTGACCTGCCTCTATTTCTTGCCTGGAGCCCCTGCCTCTACTTTCTGCCTGGTTGCCCTGCCTATACTTCATACCTGACTACTGGCCAATCAATGTTTTATTAAAATACAAGTGACAAATCTTTACAAAGTACAAGACCATTGTTCTACAGCAATGCAGAAAGATACTTATTTGATTAAGGCTAAGAGTTTTATATGTAGCATAAGGCTATGTATTTAGAATACAAATTGACATTACACTGGTTTAGGAAAATAACCAAGTAGATTCTTTTCTAGGACTATGACCTAACAGGCCATTGGTAGTTAGCTGTGTTTACAATACTATTCATGAGTTCTTTCTTATTGAACAGGTCTTATGCAGAATCAAATGTCTCTTCATTGCCCTAAAAATATAACTGCCACCAATTCCTGATACTGTCTTATCATGGTTTGACTTCCAGCTTTTACAGTTGGGCAGACTATTTTTTGTTTATTTGGTTTTTTGAGACAGAGTTTCTCTGTTGCTTTGGAGTTTGTCCTAGAAATTGCTCTTGTAGACCATGCTGGCCTTGAACTCACAGAGATCCACCTGCTTCTGCCTCCCAAGATCTGGGATTAAAGGCATATGCCACCACCTCCTGGATGGGTAGACGATTGATTACTTTTCTCCGTTAGCAGTTTACATAGCATCTTTGGATACATTGAGAGCTAGTATCCAGGGAGGAATCTTCTTGATCAGTTCTAGCTTGATCCCTTTCACTTGTGTCTTCCAAAGCATATGGTATCTTTAGCAATAACATCTTTCCTTCAAGGTCAGTGGAGGGTGGGGTGTCAACTAAGAACAACTGCAATAGAATATATTATTTGGGGGAGATTTTTGACTTGAAAGAAGAATTTTCATTGTTGCCATTGAATTTTTTTTGTTAAAAAGTCCATGGCTTGTGAGCAAATTATTCATATGCATATGCAATATATTTAAATATTATACAAGAAGATAATAAACAATTTTGTTCCTTTTTCAAAAAATAAAGTCTTCTGGATAGGAGGCAGTGAAGTTTACAGAGTTCTCTCTTGATGTTCCTAAAGCACAGAATTATATACTTACCACTAAGTGAGCCAGGAATGGAATTCTAGCACTGGGTAGGTAGAGGCAGGGAAATCACGAGGTGGTTGTTATCTCCTGTTATTTTAACAGGTTCAAGGTGGTCTTTGTGTCCATAAACCTTGTAGAAAAAAAATGAAATAGTAAATAAAATAAATAAATATTAAACAAATTATAGTGCTTTTCCTACTGTAAAACTTTTGGCTTATTTTAAAAATTATCTCATGGAAGCATATATAATATTTTATTAGGTTTACACTAAAAATTTTTCTTAGGAATTTTTTAAATTATTATTTTATGTCCTGACGGCTGTTTCCTCTCCCTCCTCTCCTCCCAGCCCATGCCACCTGCCTTTTCTTTATCCAACCTCCAAGACACTCCTCCTCCTTTCTGTTAAGAAAGGCCAGGTCTCCCATGGATATCAACAAAACATGGCCTATCAATTTGCCGTAAGACTAAGCACCTCTCCATGTAGTAAAGCTGGACAAGGTGACTCAGTATGAGAAGTAGGGTCCTAAGTCAGTAAAGGAGTCAGAGACAGCTCCTACTCCCACTGTTAGGAGTTGTACAAGAGGACCAAGCTACACAACTTGTAACATATATGCAGAGTGCCTAGGTTAGTCCCGTGTAGGCTCCCTGGTTGTCTGCTCAGTCTCTGTGAATTCCAGGTTAGTTGATTCTGTGGGTTTTCTTGTGGTGTCCTTGAACCCTCCGGCTCCTCCAGTCATTTCTGTAAGATTCCCCCAAGCTCTGCTAAAGCTATGGCAGTGGGACTGCATCTGTTTCCATCAGTTTCTGGATAACGCCTCTCTTATGACAGTTGGACTAGGCACCATTCTGTAGTATAGCAGAATGTCCTGAGGTACATTGATATTTTTTTTCTCCAGTTATGTTTTGTTGTATCGTAGGTCTCTGGTTCATCCAGTCTGTGGGTCCTGTCTTGGTCTAGATGGAAGACTCAGTCATTAAAGCATAGGCTCACAACTAAAGTATAGAAAATAATACAGCATAGACATGAAAAAGAAGGATAAATGCCTTACTCATATTTAGATTCTTAATAAATTTACACATTGGATTTATTCATAAATTTCCTAATAACTCACTGGTTAAGAATGTCTATCTCATCTGACATCATTTGAACATGAGCTTTTCTATTAGCCTTCTCAGGAAAAATTAGAGTCATCTGTATTGTCCCCACTTTGCATTTAGCTTTTCCTGAGCTAAAATTTTAGATACAAACAAACAATTCCATAATTTCCCCTGGAAACATTTTTATTATGGTGTTTTGTTTATACTAAATCTGCATGGTTAAACTTGGTACAGAAATTCTGCATCACATTTAAAACATGAAATAAAATAAGAATTCATATAATTTCAAACTTAAAGCATCATCCTCCATTTCTAGAGATCTGTATTATTTTTTACTCACTTGCTGTTTTGGAGACACGCATTAAATAATGATTTCTAAGCTCTTAGAACATTAGTGCCATTTTCAAACTTTGGAAAAGCTAGTAAGCATTTCTGGCAAAAGTGATCTATCTGTTCTTTTCTATCTGTATTTTTTTATTTCCTGTTATGAAAATTAAAACATAAAAAGCTGAACTCAGGATAAGAAAAAGATGATGCATAGAATGCGCTATTAAAAAAAAAAACTAATACTTATTTCTCTTGCCAAATAGAAGAATTTGCCAATAGAAATGACTTTTCCAGTTACATTATGGATATCAGCCAACTTTGGAGGGAGGTAGACAGAATGTCAGTATAATTTTCACCAGAAGCCAAAAGGATGAACCTGGGGTCAATAAAGAAAGAATTCCTTACCACCCTAGAGAACTTAAGAAAGGCCCCAGACAGTAAGTAGGGCAGAAGTTGGCAATAAGAAAGACTAACTTGACTACGACAACCTTTGAGGTTGAGAGGTCTCCAGACTAACAGAACATAATGACAGTGGAGCTCTTGGGCTCTATTTTGGAAATTCCACTGCTTATTATTTCGAAGAGAGGTACATTAAACATGAAACTCCTAAAATTAAAGTCTAAGTAACAGACTTTAAAAAAAAAATCTCATTGAGAAAGCTAAAAAATTGCAGAGTGAATCTGCTTTCCCAACTATAAACACAGCAAATTCATTGCATTCCTTTCAACTTCAGAAACAGAGGTGTTCTGCTAGTGGTCAACGTCAGTGCTTCTTTTGTCTTGAGTTCATCTCTACTTTTTCTGATAGCATCTCACTGGATATTTTAAAAAAATATACAATATATACAATTTTACAATATGCAATAATTAAATAAGATTAGAAAACATTTATTTATCCATTCGTGGTTTTATCCATTAATCCATTAATGATTTTTATGCATAGGGGATTTTCTACTCTTTTCATAGTTATTTTGAAAACCAAAATGGATTATTTTAACTGATGTTTGCTCTACTACTTCAAGATATTTCAGTGGCCATAATCAATTCTTCTTCCTTCCCTTCGTACCTGCTTTTCCAAGTCTCTGATGACAACTATTCTATTCTCTTTTTCAACAAGACTGATTCATTTGTTTGCACAAATGAGTGAGAACATGTGGTATTTGTCTTTTTGTGTCTGGCTTATTTAACTTGACAAAATGGGCCTCAGTTTTATTCATGGTGCTCCAAATGATAGGATTTATTTATTTCGTATTTCTGAATTGTTTTCTAATGTGCAAGTGTATCACATTTTAAATCCATTTGTTCACTGAAGGACATCTGGTTTGCTTTCACGTTTTAGCTATTATGAAAAATGGCCTAACAAACATAATAAAATTATTTCACATTTTTTTTATTTATAGAAAGTAGTGGAATTCCTTAATCATGTGGGAGTTCTACTTTTAGTGTCTTGTTTATGAGGAACTTTTACAGTTTTTTATGACTCTTCAATATTGTTGTTTACCTATGCTAACTGTTCCCTTTCTCCTCAATCTTTTCCAGGTTTAGTTTTATTCCTACGCATGAGATTCTTACTAACTTGGGAAATATGGCAATTTTGAGTGAACTATTCTGAGGTCTGAAGAGGCTGCACATATTTCAGGTATTTATTGGGTATGGGTATATTTACTTAGAGGAAATGATTAGTGCTTTAACCCATTTTTATATGCCTGTTTTCAGGCTTTTCTAGTTCTTTACATATTTTGGAATAGACACCTTGCTCATGAAGAATTTGAAAATGTTTTCTCCCATTCCATGAGTTATCTTTTGATTTTGTTGACTATTTTCTTAGTGATGAAAAAACAATTTTCTGTGTGATATAATTCTTTTTGTGTATTTTACTTTTATCATCTCTCTTAGGAGTCTTATCTAAATATCTTGTTTGCACATGATCATGTCTTGAAATGTTTTCTCTTGTTCATTGTATTGCTTTTAATATTTATGTCTTTGGTTTATTTTGTGTTAAATTTTTTTATCCTATGAGTGATAAGACCTTGTTTCTTTACCATGCATATATAGTTCTAATTTTACCAATGTCATTTATTAAGAAATACCTTGTGTGCAATGCACACATGTTCTTACTCATTCTCTGAAGCCTGATGTCTGTATGTAAATGTCTACATGAGTTCTAATTATGTATTAATGACTCCAGAATCATTTATTCTTCTCATGATTCTTTTTACTGTCCAAGGAGTTTAGTAGGGTGACATGGATTTCAGAATATTAACATATATAATAGTACAAAATAGATATTGATTAATTTTGGTTACTTTCATGGCAATTACACCAAATTTATGTTACAAGCAGTGTCACCATATGATCAGTTTAAGTGAACACTGATGATTTCTGTTTTATATTTTAGCCTTTAACATTGGTTGAAGCTAGTGCTCTGTTAAGAAAGGATAAGCAGCGATACTACCAAATATAAATATGTGTATGAATTTGTATATCACCAGTAATAATCAATGAGAGAGAATATGTATTTTAACTGTTCTAGGTAAATTTTAAAGAGGATAATATCAAATGATACAGGGATGCTATAAACTATTACTTATGAAAGATTTTATTCAAAGTTGGGACTAAATATTTAGGACCCATATAATTATTAAAATCTTAATATCATATTGATTGTGGATATTGATTTGTTTTCTTTCTTTATTTTCTTGACAATCCAGGTATACATACAATTAAAAGAACAGTTATGAAAGGATATTCTAAGATGGCCCTCATCTCCACCTCTCCTTTCTATTGCTTCCTCCTTTTAAATTTACATAAATATGCCCAAGTTTGAAATTTTGAATGTACGTGGATAATTATATTGACCTTACATGGTGGCAGAAAAGAGGAGGAAAAGAAAATCCTCTGTTACACGATGCAAATCAGAAAAATATTTGCAATTTAATGGCAGATTAGCATTATTTATTTTGATATTTCCTGCATTTTATTATTTTTGATAGGCTTCCATCTGCCAGGGTTTGGTACCAAATTTTAAGTTATTTAACTGATATCATTAGCTGCTAAGCATTAACATTTAATTATCATATTAATAAACAGTTATTACTCTCTTTAAAACTGAGCCTTGCCTCTGACACATTAGAATGCACGCTCTGCTCTTAGGCAACTTAATTGTCCTTAAAGGAAATCATTACAATTTAAATGAAATCGGGAGCTCCTGGTTAGGGAAGGCTGGAGGGCATGCACAATACATACTAAACAAGGAACTGTAATTTCCCCAAATCACTTTTTTTTTCCCCCAGTAATTTCACATCACAGCACTATATCTATTTGGTTTAGGGGAAAACAGTTTATTTTTTGCCTCTCCATTTTACAAGGGCACCATTAAACCAAGGACACGCAAGACTCTGAAATGCGTTAGCAAAGGAACTTGAGTAAATCAAATTATTTCTTCTGTGGGCTGGTAAATTGTTGTCAGCATTTGCAACACAGTCAATGAAGCAATAAACTATAGCATGGTGGGCAGCCATCAAGCAACCCTTCTGCCTCTAGGATGCAGGACTGCAGGAGGTCAGCGTCTTTATAGAGACAGCTGTTGCCTCTCTCCATATGTGACTTTGTTTGTTCACTTCCCAGCACCCGCACTTCACACGCTGCTGCAAAAAAATGGGGAGCGGGGTCATTCTCCTGTGTCCTGTTTGCCTCTCTCTCACAG